GACCCGTCCGCCTGAATATGACGAACAGGTTTCCTATTTCCTGGAGTAGGAAAACGGTATTTTGTGAAATCAAGGGCAGGTGGCTCCCACTTCCTAGATTTAGGATGAGGGGTCGCCTCTCGCCCTTGAACTGGCTTCCTCTTCCGTGAAGTGGAGGGTTTCTTAGCCGACTGCTCCTTGTCTAGAGCAGGCGGCTTCTTGTTGATCAACTCTTGAATTTCTCCCTTGAAGTCCCTCATGAAGGTCATGAGTTCGGTCCTTGTGATGGGAGCAGACCCATCAGTCGGCTGCTGCCGAACAAGCGGTGTACCCGCTGGCTCGCTTCCAGTTTGAAGATGTTCCCGTTCCCTCCTTTCGGTATGACGGATACGTCGGGCCCTTAGGGTCCCGTCTGAAGCTGTGTGAGCTTCAACTTCAAATTCATTCTCAGTATCGTGGTCCGACTGAACTAGAGGGTCGTCCAGGGGACGTCTCTCTTCAGGAGCCGGTACAAACGTGGATGCCATCTCAGAAGTACTCTCCCCACAGACGGCGCCAAGATGTTTCGGGGTTTTCTGATGTCCTGCGGGAGAGTTACAATTCCGAGACTGGAACCGGACGCCTGTATTTGCAAAACAAACGGATGCTCCGGATGATTGGAGATCCGCCTCCGACGGTCAAGTTAGTACTTGATTAAGGAGTAATTAATGCGGAAATTAAAGTGATTGGGTCTCTCTAGGTGAGAGAGTTTAATGTGTGTAATCTGCGTTTTTTCCCTTAATGAGGATTAAGGGAGGTATTTATAACCTCGAGAAACGTGCCAATCTAGGTTTAGGTTAACCTTGGGCTGATTAGGCTTCCCACGGAAGTTGGGCCTAGGTGACCGGTTATCCCAGGTGTCATGGGAAGGACACGTGTTGTGTCGTAATTGGTCCATAGTGGACGGATCATTGCTTGACACGTGGCAGGCTCCTATTGGCCCATGTGACGGACACATGGCGGAACCTGGTTGGTCCACTTGTCAGATGGTGATTGGTGGGGAAAAATCCCCTAATCACAAGCCAAACTGATTATGTCGGACGATCTACATGTGTCTATTAACACTCGTCCAACCTTCAAATTGGCGACTTTGAGAATGAACACCACGGGGTCATTGTGAGGGGCTTTAATTTTTCCTCGGTCTGCCTCGCATACCGTCACCTCTAGAAAAGGCTCAACATTGACCCCTTCCGCGTGCATTACATTCCCCAAATTCCAATCATCTTGCTTGATTCCCTTCATGGTTGGGCCGCATGCAGCAAAACCGCCTGATATGACGGTCACAAACCTTGAGTTCGTGTTGTTTCCATCATCTTTTCCTTTCTCCTTCTTCTTCTCAGACTTGTTGTCTGTTCGAGAGTAGGTAAACTTGGACTTCAGAACTTACGAATTGAGCATGCCCTTCTCGGCTAGCTTATCTAGTAACCTTTTCAAATTGTTGTAGTCATTCGTACCATGCCCCACATCCTTGTGGTAATGGCAGTACTTGTTCTTGTTTCTATACTGGGCCGGCCCTCTCAAAGGCAATGGCTTCTCAAACTCGAACTTGTCTTTGATTTCCATCAAAATTGAGTAACAATCCTTGTTGTACTCGTACTGTGGCTCGTAAGTCTTGGCTTTCTTCAACTTGGTCTGCTGACAATCAGCCACCCAGACTTCTTTTCTTTTGTTGTTTCCTTTTTTCTTTTTGTCGGCTGAGTCTTGTTGAGAAGGTGGTTTCTTCTCGGCGCCCTTGGCCGGCTCTTCTGATTTTGTCAGCGCACAGAAGTCGGCTGCCTCAATTTATGATTTAACCTCCCGCAGAACACCTGCGTATGTCCGAATCTTTTTGCTGATCAAATCAAACTTGAATCCATTATGCCTTAGACCTCAAAGAAACTCCGAGTAGGCCATTTCATCTGGCAGATTCTGAATCTGCGCTTCCTCTAGGTTGAACCTCTGAACGTATGAGCACAACCGTTCTTTCTTTCCTTGGACGATGGTCAACAAGTTAAGACTAGTTTTCCGGGTGGAATATTATAGGAGAATTTTCCAACAAACAATAGGCTGAGAGTTGTAAAGCAATTCATGCATCCGGCCGGCAGACTATTAAACCAGTCTTGAGCCACACCTTTGAGGGTGGCCGGGAAGCATTTACAGTTTTACACCAGGTGGTATCATCCACACTTTGCAAGTACATCTGGATTGCCCGTACAATCATAGACACCCACAAGTATACTCTTCACTTTAGCTGGATGAGGAGAGTTGAGAATTTCTTGAGAAAACGGAGGTGGCTTATCACCAAGATTTAACAAGCGCATATGCCATCCAATAAGCTGAGGTTGCGCGGCCAGTCCGGCCAGGTAAGCTGTCTGGTCGTACGGCTGGCCATAATGCCCATATACAGGGGGAGTAGGCGGCAGAATTGCACCATAGTTATAGGGAATTTGAAACTAAAGGGGTTGAGTTAAAGGAACCGGAGTTGGAGTACAGTGAGCTTGACTCCTACTGGTCCTAGCCAAGCTAATATGCTTGGAGAGGGTGTGGTTGGAGAAATCATCCGGCATGGTGGGAGTGGAGGCAGTGTCCGAGTAGTAGGACTATGCTCGCTCCTGCCGCTTGTGCCGGAGATAGTCTCTAGCATCCTTCCAACGTTGGGACAGCTCATTTGGCTGCCTCAGAGGCTGCTTGGTCTACCCCCCAGCCGACTACGTTTTCCCAAGTAGCCTAGACCAGTTCATCCGAGGCACCCTTGGGGACCTCTGATGTCTTTTGAACAGGGTATTCCCTGCATCTTTAGTGTTGGTCGTCTTATTTTAGGGTTTTTTTTTCTGATGCCCTCTTCTTCTTTTCTAGACGGCTGTCTAGAAGATGAAGGTATCTTACCCTCAAGCTCTTTTCGAAGCTTGTTCAAGGCGGCCTACAAGGAGTCGGTTGTTACTCGGGGGTCCTCGGCCTCATGGAATGAGACAGTTAGAGGATCACTAGTGTTGATTGTAGCGACTATGTAGAAAACATAGTCATCCTTACCAGGACCGGGTGCTTGACCATCTTTAGCCATTTCAGACGTGTATCTCTACAGACGGCGCCAAATGTTTTGGGGAATTTTTGAAATCCCTTGGGATACAAGTCTTGAATATAGTCGGACAGTTGCGGACACCTGCAAAACAACGAATATTCCGTTTGACGAAATATTCGCCTCCGACGATCAAGTTAGTGATCGAAAAACGAAGTAAATTTAGAGAGAGAAATTGGAGCAACTTAATACTCTTGAATGATATGTCTCTATCCACCTTCTCATCATAAATGATTAGGGTATTTATAAGGGGTGGGAGTGTGTGTCATCTAGGGTTTGGTGACCTAGAATGGTGTCCTCTCATTGGCGGCGCAATCAAGTAAGGACAAGTGTCCTTTGGGGGGCGCTGTTTTAATGTCTTTCTCGAGATTTGGGCCTCCCTAATGTGACGAGACATTTCTCTCATTCAGGTGCTCTCTTGTTTTTCACGTGTCATCTTCTTATTGGGACACGTGTCACCCTATTATTGGGTCACGTGTCCGGGGTATTTTTACCCTAAACAACATGATATGACTATTGAGTTTTTTTGGTCTCTATTAATGAAACAAAATTTGCCGCAATAAAATCAACAATATACAAGGTGCACCCAACAACACAAAACTAATGCAGGTGCATCCAACAACACAAATTATAGACAAGGGTGCTTATGACATCATAAGTGATCCCGAAAACCGGCGATTACCCAAGAAGAATAAATCTTGATTACTTTAGTCATTTAATGTGTATTTTCCTTTTGTTTTTCAAGGAAACATTTTTTTTTTTAATCTCTCACAAGAGAATAATCAAAGGGGCGAATTATAAAGAAAAGAAAACCAAATATATAGAGACGAGAAGTAGTGAAAAAGTCAAATTATAACACTTAAAAAATGAAATGTCAACCCCTATTGTCTCTACTAGGCATGAAACCAACAAAGCTATCTTTGACTTTCAAGTCCACTAACTCAATACCCAACCGTCCACCTTCACTGTATTCTGTTTTTCCTTTTTATTTCTACACTAGGTTAAAATCCCGTACAATGCACGGTTGTTAAATATTTTTGACAAAAATAATATTATAAAATATAAAATATATAAAAGATATTCAGAAAAATTTCATTTGGGTGTATATGAAATATGATTGTCAAATTGAAAAGAAAATATCATAAGTTATAAATAGTTTGTTTAAAGATTTTGCTTAAAAAAAAAATAATAGTGAAACAAAATTTTTTTACTAATGACAAGTGTCATGAGAGGATTTGCTTTTAGTATAGGTTAATAGATTCTTACAGTAACAAACATGGAGCGTTATTACTACAATAATAATATTACTTAATTGTGATTTGGGGAGAATAACCCCAACAGTAAGATGGATCCCCCATCCCGTATTTATCATCACAAAAACTAATTACAGGTCATATGGCACAAGACATTTAATAACTATTACATTATATCTACGATGGCTTGCCGCCTGCCCCCACCGATTGGAATCATGGTAAAAGAGATTAATTAGCATGGGTAGTGTAGTTCAAGACCATATAGGAAAATTATAGGTTGCTTTCCCCCTACACTTTCATGCTTGTTAAGAGATGATGCTCGATGAATACTGAAGCGTACTTTTAACATCTTCAAAGGCAAAAACTAGGTACAAGTAGGAGTGAGCACAAATATGAATTCGAAAGTGAAAAGTCAAGTCTTGTCTAGAATTGATTAAAAACCAGCGTGAAATCAGTTCCTTAATCAATTTATGCCCTCCAATATTCTTAAACCATGTTCACAGTGAAACCTGTCAATTATTATAAGATAGATGGGTATATTAATTATTAAACCAAGGGAATGAGGAGATTGGGGACTGCTCAATTTCATTGACACTTCCTTTGTATGATTAGCAGCCAGCAAACTCAAGACATTAACAGTCCAAAGTGACAGATAAGCAAGCATTAAAAGAAGATTCAAGTACTCAAAAAACTGCAGCTATTTATAAAGTGCAAGAAAGTTAGACAACGCCATAAATAGGCCACAAACTCATGGGGAATAAACTAAGGGATACAACCCAATTTGCCAAACCTATTAAAAAAAACTAAACAAAGCTCTGAAAGTTCCCTTTCACAAAATTCCGCTTTATTCTCTAAATCAACCATCACTTGACAATATCAAGGTAAACACTGCATCAATGCATGCCATGCCAGAGCAACTCAACCAGCTTACTGGGTCTTTGACATGTGGCGGATCAAGTCAACAACACGGGAACTGCAAAACAATTAAAGGACGCGATTATAAAAACAGAACTAATTTGTTTTTGATGGATACCCCCTTCAAATGTATGATAGCAGTATTAAGTTGAAAAGTACACAGTACCTGTAACCCCATTCGTTGTCGTACCAGGAAACCAACTTCACGAAGTTTCCATTCAAAGCAATTCCGGCCTTGGCATCGAAAATGCTGGACCTGTGGACAGATGCACAACCGATTATTAGTTCATGGTAAACTAAAGCTATAATGGGGAAAAAGAGGGATTGTGATGGAATTGACATCCTACCTGTTGTCACCAACAAAGTCGGTTGAAACAACATCATCCTCAGTGTATCCGAGGATTCCCTTCATCTTGCCTTCAGATTCCTCCCTGGTAACCAAAAAAACATATGTGAGATTGCATTCAAACTAGACATTGCATAGTTTAACTGAACATTGTATCATTTAAGGGTAATAGTAGCTTACTTGATGGCAGCCTTGATTTGCTCATAGGTAGCTTCCTTCTCAAGTCTGACAGTAAGGTCAACAACTGAGACATCAACAGTGGGAACACGGAAAGACATACCGGTCAACTTTCCATTCAAAGCTGGCAAAACCTTTCCAACAGCCTAAAGGAAAACACATCAATGGTCAGGTCGATACAAATGTATTGCCATGCAAATACCAGCAACATTCAAAGAAAAAATACGCTCTACAATAATATATAAAAGATGCAGTGCAAATTGTTTGGACAAAAAATACCTTAGCTGCTCCGGTGCTGCTGGGAATGATGTTGAAGGAAGCAGCCCTTCCACCTCTCCAGTCCTTAGCTGATGGACCGTCAACTGTCTTTTGGGTGGCTGAACACAAAATACAAAAATGATTGATCAATTAGCTTAAGAAAAATATGCAAAATATTCAAATGAAACCATTATTCATCAGTCATCACAGGACTCACCAGTGATGGAGTGAACAGTTGTCATAAGACCCTCAACAATGCCGAACTTATCGTTGATCACCTGAACCATATAACAAGAAAGGGTGCAAGACTTTTAAATATTACAATCTCAAATCCTATGATTGATGCACGAAAATAAGGCTAGGACAAACCTTAGCCAAGGGAGCAAGACAGTTAGTGGTACAACTGGCGTTGGAAACAATGTTGAGCTCTGACTTGTATTCATGCTCATTTACACCAACAACGAACATGGGAGCATCCTTGCTAGGAGCAGAGATAACTACCTTCTTGGCTCCACCCTATAATAATAATAAAATCAGAAATAACTTGTTAGCAGCAGAAATCAATTTGATCACAAAGATTCATAGTAGTTAAAAAAAAAAACTCAAGTAAAAAAAATGAAACAATGAAGCATCTTCGTAAAATAGAAACAAACTACAGAGTTTTTATGATCACACCTTATTTAATGCTATCTCAGGAAAAATACACAAATGTAAAAGGCATACATTAAAAGTTTACAAAAGTCTCTTCGCATCATTGCTTAGAAGTTTTTTTGCTTAGAAGTTAATGACAAAATATAAGAGTCCAAGGTGACATTATAATATTACAAAAGAATCAAAATACCCTATCAACTATAAAACACAGGAAAAAAAGGCATTTGGATGATGGAAAAAAACAACTTCCAAGTACCAATACAACAAATCGACAGCAAAATTTCATTATTACAACCATTATTGACTGGTTCACAAATAACAAGTTAAAAAAGGGCCATATCACATAATTTTTTAACGCAACAATTCCAATATTACTAGGTTGACTAAGCAAATCAGCAAGTATCAGAAAGAACGTAGTAAATTTCACACAAAAATCAAGTATTCCACAAGTCCAGTCACCCATAATGCAAGTCAAACAAATAACTTGATACAAATTCCTAAAAAAACAAACAATTCAATCAAGTGCTTAAGTAAGTTCTATCAACAAACTACAGAATACATTTGTAATAAGACATAAAACAGTAACAATATACAGAGTCCAAAAAAGGAGGTCTAATATACACACCTTCAAGTGAGCAGCAGCCTTGTCCTTGTCAGTGAAGACACCGGTGGACTCGACAACGTAGTCGGCTCCGGTCTGGCCCCATGGGATCTCCTCTGGGTTCCTAATTATCGAAAACAACACACATACTAAGTTTATTAATTACACAAGTCATGTCAAACCAAGAAAAAACTTGAAATATTCTTCTTCATACTTTCGTCATGCTATAATAATTCATAATTGCTTACTTCACTATACTAACATCAAATTATCAAACAAGAAGACAAACATCATCAAAATTATACATAGATCATCTTTAATAAATACCAAAAATAACATACAAATCGTAGTTTGTGAAGTAACATCCATATCTTACTATATTGAAAGAACATAAAAAAAAATGAAATATTCCGTACTACAATTAATTTCTAAAAGCTGCAACTAATCATTTTCAAGTTTCATAAATATAATTGCAAGAATTGACTACTTTCCACTCAAATAATCCTAAGATATAAATCGCTTAAATAATCCTCTATACTTCAGATTAAGAATTTTAAATATATTGATAAAATTACAGATCAGAATATTATACCTGTGACCGAAAACGGTCACGGCCCTCTCACCGAAGAGAAGAGTCTTCTCATCCTTAACCTTAAGCTCATGGTGCTTCCATTGACCGTGAACACTGTCATACTTAAACATGTAGGTCTACAAATACAAAAACCAAATCAAATCAACAAAATAAATCACAAATCTAAACAATTAAATAATAAAAACAAAGTAGATCAATCGAATATAAATCTATATTTATGAAAATGAATATTATACCATGTAATCGGTGGTGATGAAGGGATCGTTGATGGCAACAAGCTCACAGTCATCGCTCTGAAGCACAACTCTAGCGACCAAACGTCCGATTCTTCCGAATCCTGCATAGATTCATATATAAACATCATTTTATACTCAAAATTTTCAGATTATTCCAGATCAAATCATAAACACAGCCAAATTTGAAAAAAAAAATAAAAAACTAGATCTAGATGAAGAAGAATTATTACCGTTAATTCCGATCTTAACCTTGGCTGCAGACCAAAAAATAAACACAGAAAAAAAATGAAAAAATTAGATGACAAATTACATCAAACATTACAGAAAAATGAGAGAATTTGTAGATCGGAGGAGAGAGGAAAAAGAGGAATGAAGTCTGACGAACATACCCATGGTGGAAAGAAGAGAAATGTTGATAAGAGGTTGAGAGTGAGTTTGTTGAAGAAGATGAGAGTAGAGAGAGAAAGAGAGAGAGTGAGATTAAAAGGGGGTTTAGGGTTTTATTTAAAGGAGAAGAGAAGGGTGACCGGAAATGTCGGTTAATTATTCAAAAGGAAAAAAGAAAATGTTGAGGTGGGGCGGAATTCTCGAAGGTTGTATGAGTATGATTGAGTGTGGTGCGAGTGCATGGTAATTTGTGTAGCCGTTTTATTTTGAAAAAGGGGGGGTGATGATGTGGAAGGGACTTGGGAGGTGCCGGTTGAAATGGGATCACGTGTATGACGTGTGAGCATTTGTCATGTGAAAGGACTCAACAGGAGAAAAGTTGGCGTGGTATTTCACGGTGGTTGTAAAGGCCAAGTTAAAATTAAAAGGAGTGATACTTCTTGTCATGCCACCTCAATAAATGAATTCCAAGACCTTTTATTAAAAAAGAAAAATTAATGACTACGCGTACTCGTATTATTTTTGTTTTAATTAATGTACGGAGTATTTTTGTTCTAATTAAAAGAGATATAGAGACAGTTTAATTAGTTCAAGTTTTTCGCCCGCTTTTAAAAAATCTTGAGATCGATTTTGTTAAGAATTACGAAAAAATAAATTTAATTCAATTTAGTAAAAATAATTTAAATTTTTTAACAAAAATAAGGTGAATTAAACGGTGCCTGACATTCTTAAAAGAAGAAAATTATTTTGAACTGTCATTATTTGTTTGATGGTGCATTCATTTCATTTGCATTATACTTCTTGTAATGTAGTTCATTTGTTCAACATATAACTAGAATAAGTTATACTCTTTTCGTTTTTAAATACTTGCTTCAATTTCTATTTCTGACCGTTTTTAAATACTTGCTTTATTTCTTTATTTGAAAAGCTTTTATAATATTTAATTCATTTCTCTCTACTAATTGACCCAACATAAATCATATTTTATTGATTTCATATTATCTCTCCTCCAGTTCTCTTAACTACTTTTGCTTTTTACAATTTTTTAATTCTTCCACCTACTCCACTACCTCCATATTTTATAACTTTTTTCAATTTCTCCTAAAACTCCGAGCATGGAGATATTGAGCAAGATTTAAAAACGGAGGGAGTACTTAGTTTAGATAAGTTCATATATATTCTGATAAGTTTAAATAAGATAGCATGCATTTAGATAAGTAAAAAATCAACTAAATAAAACATATCCTCAATCGGAAAATTAATGAATAAAATTAAGATTCTGCTCTCTTCAGTTGATTATTTTATTAATTGATAATAGCATGATCAAAGTGTTCGTTAGCGTAGCAAAATTTATAATGAGTATGGAATACTTCATGGCTCTTATAGGCTAACTCAAATCATCGTAACCCTTATATAATTAAACTCGAACCAATTGCAAAAACTTTTACTCTACTTCTTAAATACAATTATTTTATAATTCACACATTTCATTGGCTACCTCTTAAGAGTCTTTAACATATTTCCAAACTAAAAAAGTACTTGTAAAAGTTCAAAAGCTTCACGGAAAATGAAAGAAAAGAAGATAGAAGTATACAAATAAAAATCTTAGTTGGTAGATTAACCTTTAGGAAGTGTGTGGTGGATATAATAGAGTGGACATATACTGACATTATTTGGATGGTGAAGGGTAAAGTTGAGATTGGTGGTTAGTGTGCATCTTCTGGCCAACTATAATATTCAAGTGTCATTGTTTGTACACCAACAATAGTTGCATGGCTCATGACATTCTTCCATTTGAGAAAAAAAAAAAGTTGTATTTAAGCTTTATTTTGACCATTTGTAAAGCCGAATAGCCAATTTTCTAAGCATCTTTTTTTGATTCTTTTTAATTGCTTCTATAGATTCTTTTTGCTGAATTTGTATATATGTTTCAATTTATATCTTTGTGTAACAAACCAAATTACAGTATTGAATTGTAGTAGTTAGTTAGGTCTTGTTTTTTTTACTCATATAGTCATATTTCAGTTTTTCTAATAGTCTAGTCAATTTACTTTCTTTCCATAGGATGAATTATTGGTAAATGGTAATCAAATTTTAGTTATCATTTGCAATACGTTGAATCTCATTAAAATCAATCTATCAATCTATCAATCAATCAATACTATATATTAAATTAATCACTAAACCTGGGCATCGTGCCGGGCCGTGCCGCCGCGGGCCGTGCCTGGCGGGCCACGGGCTCCGGCGTGTCGTGCCGGTCGTGCCTGCGTGCCCAGGAATTCGTGTCGTGCCGTGCCGGCGATTCTCACAGGCCAGCCCACGGCACGGCACGACCCTCGTGCCTGGCGGGCTCGTGCCGTGCCGGCCACGTGCCGGCCTGCGGGCTGACCTGAGCGGGCTAGCCTGCGGGCTGGTGGCAGTTTCCATTTTTTTTTTTTTTTTTTTTAAGTGACAACATTATAACTTATAATTATAAGTATTATAATGTATATAAGTTGTATAATGTATTATAATGTATAATTATAAGTATTATAATGTATATAAGTTATAAGTATTATAATGTATATAAGTTATAAGTATTATAATGTATATAAGTATTATAATGTATATAAGTTATAAAATTATAATTATAAGTTTTATAAGGTTATAAACTTATAACTTATAAGTTTATAACTTATAAGTTATTAAGTTATGAATTTTATAATTATAAGTTGAATATTTATGTTTATAATTTTGTATATTCAATATTTATATTTATATATTTACTTTATACTATTACTTTAAAATTTAATGTTTATGATTTATTAAATATAATTTTGTATTAGTAATTGGTATAATTTTATTTTTTTTAATATGAATTTACAAATTGTAACAAAACGGTGAAAAAAGGCAAATTGGACTTTGGATGTGAATACTGCGTACTTTATATTATTATTACTTGAGTTGAGAAAATTGTACAATGATAACAATGATAAAAATCATACAATGATGGTATTAAACAAAAATTGGAAAATAATAAAATTGATATTTGATAATGATTAAAATCATACAATATACAATAATTGTCTATTCTTCTTCTCCTTCTTCTTGCTCGTCTTCGTCTTCGTCTTCGCCTTCGCCTTCAAGGTCATCGGCTAGTTGCATAGATTGGGAACTAGCCGAACCCGAACCGGAAGTGGAGGTTCCTTCTTCGTTGTCGTTGTGGTCGTAAGAACAGTCTTGTGAGCGATTTTCCGCATCCAACCAATCTTTGAAACACACGCACATTTCTAGTGTTTCGGGTTTTAGACTTGTTCTTCTATCGTCTAAAACCCTTCCGGATGCGCTGAAAGCTCGTTCGGAGGCGACGGAGGAAACTTGGATAGCAAAAATGTCTCGTGCCATTGCCGCCAAAGTTGGATGCTTCGAGCTTTGTTGTTTCCACCATGCAAGGAGGTCGAGGCTGTTTATCTCATCGTCGTCCATGCCTTTGGTGAAGTCGTAACTCAGGTACATCTGCAACTCCGAGACGTCGCTTTGCGTTCTCCTGATTGATGAATCACCTGAAAACCTTGAAATCAAGTTAGTAGCTTGTGAAAATAAATGTTTGGCCTTCTTACTTACGTTTTTGGATGGTTGGGAAGGCCCTGAGCGAGGAACGGTGCCATATTTGGCTTCATAGACTCTATATAAAGCAAAAAAACTGATCCTTCACATTAGTCTTATAGTTTTCTACATCATCGTCAAGAAACATGCATTGAAAGTAAATGTCAACTAACATAAATGTGTTTTCATACTTTTGCCTAAGATCTAATATGGAAGCAAAAATATAAATCAAAGGAATTTCACTATAATATTTCCATTGCTGGAAGATACTGATCATAATCACTTTGATGGCGATGATTAGCGAAAAGTTGGGCGAGTAAGCATGCATTAGAAAGAAAGTTTTGAGCACAAGGATTGTAAACAGTAGAAAAACAATACGTCATGTTATATAATAACTGTAAAAATTGCAAATATCTTTCACAGTTATTCCAATCATCATCATACAAAGCATTTTGTGGAAATTTTTGGTTGTAAAATAATGTTAACGGGCCCTTGTACTCAATTGCCTTTGTTAACATGTCATAGGTGGAATTCCACCTAGTTGGGCAATCGGTTCTAATTTTTATTACCCTTATCTTTTGGTTTTTTAGAAAACTCTTCCATTCTTGGTATCTCATGTTAGAGCTATTAATAGACATAATAGCATCTCTGATTTTGTTGTAGTATGGGCCAATTGCCCGAACTCCATCCTGTACACATAAGTTAAGTACATGGCAAACACATCTAGTATGAAGAGCTTCACCGTCTAATAGGACATCGGTTAAGTTTTGTTTGATAAGATTAGTTGTGTATGTCATAGAGGTTGCATTATCAAAAGTCATAGATATCATTTTATCTCGAAGGTTGTATTCGTCTATTGCTTGCATTAAATGGTGAGCAATGTTAATGCCGGTGTGTGGGTATTCCAGCATTTTGAAATGTATTATTCTTTTTTGTAACAACCATTGATCATCTACCCAATGGCAAGTCACACATAAATAGTGATATTTATAACCATTATCCCAAGAATCGGCTGTTAAAGATACTCTACAGTTAAGGTTACTCAATTCGGCTTGTAACCGGACTTTGTACTCTAGGAAATTTTTCATTGCGGCGGAACGAACGGTTTTCCTAGAGATTCTTTTATGTTGGGGTTGTAGTGCTTTGTTAATGTAGGTGTTGAATGCGTCACTTTCCGAGAAAAGAAAAGGTTGTTCGGCGTGTACTATCATTTTTCCTAGTTCATCCCTATCCCTCTTATAGTTGTATGTAAAGCCGTATGGATGGAATTGGAAAATTTTGGGCTGGGTTGGATCACTAGTTGGTTTTGCACAAGCTTTTATGTGCCTAGTTAAGTGTCCCGTCCCGTTTTTGGTAATTTCCGTGAATACACCATTACATGTTTTACATTTTGCATATTTTTTACCCTCTCTATCTAGGACAAAATAACGCCATACCTCACTCCTTCGGTTTTTCAAAAGTACCATCTCACTTTCGGTTAACCATTCATGATGTGTGTCTGCGTTAGTAGTGGCAGTAGAAGG